GTGTGTGTGTGTGTGTGTGTGTGTGTGTAGGGGTCTGGGGGCAGATAGGGTCTTGAGCAGGTCCTGGACCCTCTGTTAAGTACCATGACTCCATGTAGACACTGTCACTTGCCAGCGAAGGTAACTGGGCACTCAGACCGAGCGAAGACTTGAGGAAAAGTGGGTGAGTGCTCAGCGCTGAGCACAGCAGTGGGTGACGGGGCGAACGGGACCCCGGGGACTCCCGTTCAGAGCCAGGGCGCACTCCCGAAGGGGAGAGCACACAGATGCTGAAAGTAGGGTGGCGCGAGGCCGTGGGGAGCCCCACATGGGGTGTTAGACCGTGGGAGAGCCGACCCTTCCCTTCCCTCTCCCACTTGTCCTCCGGCCTTGTCCCCGACAACCCAGAGTTGACGGTGCGTCTCTTCGCTGCCACACTCCGAGAGAGATTCTTAGGAATGTGACACCCTGAATCAGGGATGTGATTGCTGAACTGTTCATAAGGCCTAACACATTCAACGCGCCGGTTGTCCAGGGACAGGACGAGGAAATTCACAGGCTCCAGCTCTTCGCTGGCCAGTCCCCTGCTTCTAACTTTGTCACTGCCTTTTATCAGATATTAGAGGGTGAGTAGGCCGATGGGTGGAATTCATACTTAAGGTTTGAAAAAGTGTTCAGATTCAAGATGGTGGAACACGTATGCAAAAATGAACTTTGCGAATCAAGAGGTGGCTGGATAGCGACTTTGCGGATTATCCATCAGCAAATGACCACTCCCAGAGTGGCTTCCCATCATGCTTCACCCCATAATTCTCTGTGCTTTTAGATAAATCAAAATTTGCTTTCTGCTGTTGTTTTTATCAGCTAAGGTGGATATAATTAGGAAACATAAACAATGCTTCTAAAAATAACGTATTCCCTAAACAGAAATGACTTTAGGGTTGCCTGGCAGTTTGCATTATCCACTTTTTTAGAAACGGCCACTGTCATTGTCAGAGTATCTACTGACCCTTTGTTCTAGTACCGAAGCTCTAGAATGAGGAAAGAAAATAGCTGACTATCTTTGATTCCCTCCTCCAGTCTGGGGCGTGGAGGGGCAAGACCCCAAGGTCGGAGGAAGATGTTCATTTCCCGCCCTGATTGCAGAGGGACCGTCCTGCCTCTACCCTGACTTGTGCCACCGAGCAGTATGGCATCCTGCTCTGAGCAGTGACGTGTTCGCTAGTGAACGAGACCACGAGAGAGGAAGCAGTGATTCTCTTGCTCTTTCGGGCTGTCCGAGAGTGAACTTTGAACTGTTTCCAGGGAGAAGGGGGAGGGAGGGTCTCTGTTTTTTTCTGATATCCTCAGTGTAGATGTTTCCCAGCTCGTCTTGGGCTCCCCCCTTTCCGTCTTTGCCCTTTGTCCTTTGCATTCAAAATTTCCAGCAAGCCTTGCCACTGTTTTTAACCCCTTGTGTGTGGGTCCCACCAGACCAGAGTGTCTCTAAGGGCAAGACTAACTGGCGTCTTCCTCTGTGCCTGCACCCAGAAGTTCTCAAAAGCCGATGGTGGCTGGCTGATCTCTGCTCATCCTGGCTTGGGTATTTTCCAGCGCAGGCCGCCCTGCTGCCCAGGGACACACACACAGGCAGCTTCCTGGCCGTCTGTGCGTGCTGTGCGTTGTCTGATAGGAAAGTAGGATGGGGAAGCCCCAAGGCCTGCTTTCCAGAGCTTATCATCTGGAGACCCAGCTCACGTGCCCACAGGAAGGTGAAAGACAACAAAACAGCTGGTCAGGGTAGCGGAGAGATGGGGTCGTCGGAGCTGGCTGATGCAGAAGGCCCGTCGGGGTCTGGAGTCCGAAGCTCAGGTCAGGGGCACCCCCGGTGGGGACCGTGACGCTTCCACCCAGGGGAGCGCGTTGTATCCTTTCTTCTCCTTGGCCGCGTTCCTGTCTTTGAAGAGGGAATTCTTCCTGCCCATCCCGATCCCAATGTGGGGAATGAGATAAAAATAGCACCCGAGGCGGGAGGCCTCAGACCATGGAGCTCACGTCCTGGTCTCAGGAGCCCATGTGGCTCCTGTGCCGAGGGGTCCCGTCCACTTGGAAGCCAGGCCGGAAGCGGCAGCGCGGCCTGTACAGCCCAGAACCTCTGGAGCCGTGGTCGATCCCGGGGTTGCCTGGTCAGCGGCTTGGCCCTTGCGGCTCTCCTCCAGGGAGTAATTGGAGTCTCGTCCGTGGGGGTTCCCCAGGGAATGCGCTTCGAGTCTCCGACTTGCACCCCCCGTCCTTGTTTACACAGAAGTGACCCTTGGGTGCGGGAACCCAGCTTGCCCGGTAATTGCACTGATGGGTCCGTGGGGTTTCGCAGGTTGGCTCACATTTTTTTCTGAAGGTGGCAGAATGCAGTCCCTCGGCCACTCGCCACTGCTCTGAAGGACGTGGCGTTTGGCGCGCACTTTACCAGACTGTGCGTCCACCTGGCCGAGGGAGGGGAGGCAGGTTAGAGGGAGCCCCCTGACTGCATTCTGCAGCTTGGGGTACATACCGGCAAACGGGAAGGCCGGCCCCACCCCCTGTGCCCCACACCACCACTGCCGTTGTCATGGAAACCGTGGGCAGGTGGTCCCCTTAGTCCAGAAGAGCTGGTTCAGGAGCTCGGTGTTGGCGGTGCCATGCGGAGAGCTCACGGAACAGGCCCATGTGCCAGCGCCCGTGGCAACTGCTATGCACGTCCCTCTCTACCAAGGGACACAGGACATGGGGGACAAGGGGCACTGCTACCTGACTGAAGGGGATCTGCCTCCCGTGGCCCTCTGAGGGGACGTGGGCCTCCTGTCGCCCTGAGTGACTAATTGATTAGTGCCCCCGTCCTTGATGGGGAGGTGATTCCTGTAGTGGGGGTGGGGGGAGCGGCACCTTTTGTAGTTCTGTCACCGGGAGGAGGGGTCCCTCACACGTCCCTCATCCCTCGCTGCGCTCACCCACGCATCCAGATCCTGGACTCCCGCTTTCTGCGTCCTGTGCCGGGCCTCCCTGTTCAAGAGGCCACTTTTCTTCTTGACTGGGCAGTGACCCATAGCATTGCCTGAGGCCTCTGAGTGGGGCTCAGAATACCCAGGAGGGGCCTGGGGCTCAGTCCGCGGTGCTCTGGGCTGAGGCGCCTGCAGGCTGCATGGTGCAGGGTCCATCACTCTTTCCCTCTCCCTGCCCCTTTCTCTGCTAGAATGCAAGCGTTCACAGAGCCTAAGTGGGAGAGGAAGCTTTTCAGGGACCTGACCTGTGTCCTGTGGTAGCAGAGATTAGTGGTCAGGGCTCTTGAAGGCCGAGCCGCTGGCCCGAGTGGCCTGGCTGTGGGGGGCGGCCTGGTCCTCACAGACTGAGGTGCGTGGTGGCCAGTCTTCCGCACAAAGGGAAGGGCCGGATCCAGCAAGGCCAGTTCTTTTTTTTAGCGGCCTCCTGATGCCGGCTTTATCTCCCTTCAGATAAGAAAACCAGGGTTTGGAGGGGCCTGGAAACTCCCCAAGATTAGCCCACGGCGCGGTTGTCAGTTTGCTCATCAGCTCGCTCTGCTGCCCCGTGCTTTGCTTGCTCAGCAGACGCCTCGCTTTGAGCAGGAAGCAGTGTCTGGAACTCTAGGATGCTATGCTGCTGCCTGTCCCGTCTCCGTTCCCTCTGAACCTGCCTCTCAACCTGGGCAAGCAGGCCACCCCCCACCTCCCCCCAGCAAAAACAGCCCGGGCCTGGCACCCGGAGGCGCTGATGCTCTTGGCCTTGGTCATATCTGGGGTGAGTGCGGGAGGAAGGGGTAGGATCTCAGGAGAGAGAATCCAGCCTGTGGGCTCCCATCCTGTCCCCTTACTGTGCAGGGGCTAGCCTAGGTCACAGATCTCAGAGCTCGTGGGCGAGGCGGCCCGTGAGGGTCACAGCTCCGCTTTCCTGTGATCTCACAGGTCCTTGTCACAAGTCCGCAGGTGCTGTTGACGGAGGCCAAGCACGCAATCTGACCTAATTTGAGGGAGAGGCAGACGCGCTGGCCGGTGAAGCTGTGATGCCTTCAAACCCGAGTGCTTCAAGCCGATTTGGGGTTGATTTTTGTGGCCATGGGAGCTCGTTGCCTTGGTACTCGGGTCTACCCTGTGCCACCCTGCATCAAGGAGAAGCGTGGCTGTCCTTCGTTCTTAGGCCTCTTCCCAGTGTCCCTGTTTGTCGCTTCCTTGGGTGCCGTGGTAGAACCAGTCCTCAACACGATGTGTTAGGGTGACCTCTGGGGTTGGCAGGGAGTCAGTTGCCTGCTTTTCCTGGTTTCCAGCATGTCGGCACTGGCAGCTGGGAAGTGATTTTCCTTAAGAAGTTTCTGGCTTAATCCTCAGGAGAGGACTCAGGAAGTGCTTAGGTGATAACGGAGCGGCCCTGACTTACTCTGATGTATTTTGTCAGTACTTTGACAGTATTTAGTATTCGAAGTGCCTTCGGAGGAGCGGGGGCCGCTGAGAGCTGGCTCTGCAGCCGATGCACCTCAGTTTGCCTGCGGGGTGCGGGTTGGCCCCGGTCCTCCATCGCTCTTCTTTCCCCGCTTTTAAGTTTGTTTTTAACTTGTTTGGGGAGACGTTTCAAAAGTAAAGAAGTCAGCGACTGGCACGATTCTCCTGCAGCCGTCACCCTGCTCCGGTGCTTGTCTGCGTGTGGTGACCTTGTTCTCTCCCCCGGGGGACCATTTTGAAGCAAATCCCAGGCATCTCATTTCACCTGTAGATGCTTCATACACACGTGCCTGTGCGAGGAGAACCACACGTTGTATTCGGTTGATATGTCTAATTTTTTAATGACTTGTAAAATAATTTCAAGCTTAGAGAAAAATGATGATACCTAGAACTGTCATGCTTTCTTCACCCAGATTCACCGGTAATTAACATTTACCACATTAGCTTTGTCATCATTTTCCTCTCTCACACGTGTGTACATCATCTTAACCCTTTGAGAGTAAATTGCAGCCGTGAGGCCACTTTAAACGCTTCACCGTGTCTTCCCCCAGAACGAGGCTCTCCTGTTACCAACCACTGCAGTCGAGGTCAGAGCAGCAACATTTACGCTACTGTTACTAATTCACAGCCGGCGTTGGTCCCAGCCTGCCTGTCTGTGATCGCAGTCCGGGACCATGCGTTGTGTTTTGGTGTTCAGCCTCGAATTCTTTAATCTGAAAGAGACCTTAGTCTATTCTCTCACGACCTTAAACAGTGTGACAGGCCACTTACATTTTAGACTATATTTCAGCTTGGATCATCTGAAATTTCTTCACAATGAGACTGAGATGATTCATTTTTGACAAGAAAACTGTAGAAGTACTTCTATGCATGGGCTTCTCAGTGTGTCCCATCAGAGGCAGCTTAGGGTCAGGTATCAGTTTGTCTCTTTGGGGACGCTAAGTCTGATCGCTTGGTTAAGGTGGCATCCTCCAGGATTCCCTACAGTTATTATTTTCCCTTGGTAATTAGTAAGTATTTCGAGCCTACATAAATATCGTCTTTCTCGTGGCAGTCTCCCCTCTGGTATTAGCATCCGTGGATGATATTTGCCTGAATTATCACTCCCATCATTCCTTCTGCATTTATTAGTTGGCATTCCACTGGGAGGGATTTCTTTGTATGTTTTGTATGTATCAGCAAGGACTCGTTGATTGTTATTTTGTTCAATGGGTTATAATTTTAAGTCTCTTTTAATATGTGGGTTTCCCCCTTCCTGTTCTTTTCCTTGCAGTTTACGTGTTAAAGAAACCAGGTCACCTGTCACGTTTTCCACATTCTGGATTTTGCTGACTGTAGCCCCGTGGGGACTTATAAACTGGTAGTTAGGTCTAGAGATAGGATGAGGTTGGAACTTTTTAAAACGTTTTGAGGGCCAGAAGTACTTCATAGGTTAGTTGGGGCATGATATATTCTTTTTTAAATTTTGTTATCTTTTTTACTGTGTGCAACTTTTTTTTCCCTTTTTTTTCTTTTTTCTTTTGATGGTGTCATATACTCTTCTTAATTTTTTCTCTCCTCACAGAGGTTGGAAAGATGTATGAGTATCGTGACATCGATGACTACCGGTGTCTCAGAGAGAGAGGCCAACGACGCCCTCAATGCCTACGTGAGTACAGTGCCCCGCCCCGCACCGCCCATTTGCACTTTTCTGAAACCTCTGGGACACACTCAGCAGGGTGGGAGACTTAAGTAGCTAAAAACAGGGGGCTGAAGTCAATGTCTTAGCTTCCCGATGCCTCTCTCTCTCTCTCTCTCACTCACTGTGAGCATCCATCACTTAGAGCCTGAGGCGTTTTTCAATAACAACTTTAAAGAATGACTCAGTTCTATAGTGAATTTTTTCTTTACAACTCTTTCTCACATATTTAATCTTTTACATTTCCTAATCAGTCCGTGAGGGTGAAAGGGCTTTAAATAGTACGTGTAAGACTTAGGATAACGGTATATCATGAATGTTTGGGAGGTGTTACCTCCTGCTGTTAGCATCGTATTCTCATGCTGTCTTCACCTGACAAACGCCAGAGGTTCAGTGACTCGCCCGGGGTCTCGGTTGGAGCGAGTGTGAGCTGCTCCATTACTGGCTGTATTGGCAGCTCCCTGCCCTGAAGGCTGTTAAGGCCTGGCCAAGGACATGGAGGAGGAGTTTTCCATTTTAAACATTTTTTATTTTCTGCCCCGGGCCTACATCAAGCCTTGGAGAAAGGAATAAGGGTCCCTCCACTTCTCCCCTAAAGCAGGGGGCCCGTCACTGTCAGGAGAAGGAAGTCATCAGGTGTAAGAGTTGCTGATCCTCCTTTGTGGGGTACACGGGAGTCCCAAGTTTCTGGGAGAAACTGTGTTCCAGAGCTTTCCTCCTGTGTGAGTGACAAGTAGCTTTTTCCTTTCTCATACCTCAGGTGTGCAAAGGGCCCCCCCAGCACGAGGAAGTCTGCCTGGGCCTGTTCACCCTCGTCCTCACCGAACCTGCCCAAGCCCAGAAGGTAGGACACCCTGCGGGACCCACAAGCCCTTCCCAGATGTGATCTGGGGACACGGGGACTTAGGGCGCAGCTGGCATAGCCCCAGACCCTTCGACCAGAGCTGGACAACTCCCTGCTTCCTCTGGCTAAAGTTTCTCTGTCTCTAGATTCTGAAGCTAAAAGGCAAGAAAATGCAGTTGCGAGAGCGAAAAAGCATTTGGAGTTTCAAATTTTAGATTTATGAGTTGAGGCTAAAAGAGCGAGATTTAATCCAGAGACTAGAACAGCTGCGAGCGGCTCCCACGGGAGCCCTGATGCAGAAGGCGTGACCTGCCGTTGGCAGGTCCTGCCCCTGGCAGGTGAGGAGAGCAGGTGACACCGCAGTGAGTAGGGTTTGGCTTAGCAGGTGTTGGGCCACCGAGGTGGTGACAGGGCAGTGACGAGAGAATCCTGGGGACCCGGAGTCGGACTTCTGAGGCGCACAGTAGAAAACCCACCTGGCTTCCTCACAAGCGGGGGAGCCCGCTTTGCATGAGGCGCTTCACGTGGGCCTTCCCTGAGGTGGGGGCCCGGCAGGGTGACCCCTGAACCCTGTCCTTTCTGTCTTTGGCCTCTCCACGCTTCCCCTGCCAGCAGCTGTGTCCCTGGGGTCTCGGCGTGATGGTTTAGGAGTGTGTCCGGCATTGACGGTGACGCTGACAGAGAGGAACCTGGAGTCAAGGGGTTTAACCTGCTGTCCCCCTCCCGACCGCCCCCCCTCCCCCAGGCCAGGGGAGGGCGGCAGGAACAGACACATTCTGTGCACAGCCTTGTTGGGTCTGTCCAGACAGCATCTCATTTACTTATCTTGAAAGGCCATGTGAGATTGGTGGCTTCATCCCCTCTCCCCAGAGTGCCCCTAGCTTACCTGTAAAGAGGTCAGAGACATTGTCGTTTGTTCAAGGAAAACCAAGGAAAAGTCATCCCCAGGGACGGGGCAGGGTGCCCGTGGTCCCCTGGCATAGCTGCTCGGGTCAACCTCAGGGGCATGGCCCGTGAGCATGGCAGCCTGTTGTGCCTGCTCCTCTGATGCCAGCTGGAGCGGGGGGGGAGCGGCCGGCAGGTGTGGGGCACAAGTACTCACAAGTCCTTGGTTTTACAAGCCACTTCTGGGCTGGGACCTCGTTGAGTTAAATTGGCATTTCATTTTCATACTGATTTTATTATCATCAAGATCCTTAAAGACAAATGAACGTCTCCAGCGGTGATGTCAAACGGTGACGTGACCCCGTCCGGCCCCTCTATTTTAAATAAATTGTTGGCAAAGGCGGGGTGAAGGGGTGGGGTATGGTTAGGTTTCCTCTGTGCGGCTTTTCATAAATGCAGGTGACGCCTCGTTTAGACATCTCAGTGCGGTCACCTCGCCAGCTGGCTTTGGTTTCAGGTGGGATCTGAATGCTAGGGTAGGTCAGGACCCCCAGCGCTGGGGACAGGAGCGGGGGGTTTCTGGCTCTCTGCCTGGCCTGGCAGCGAGGGGCCACAGGGCTCTGCGTTACGAATGCTTATTGCATTGTGAATTTGGACACGGTGAGGGGCTGGAGCGCCTTGGCTTCTCTGCCCTGTGACAGCCCTGCAGGGGTGACCACAGCCCTCACCTGGGCTCTCGTTGCTGGTGGACGGCTGTGCCAGGGTTGTGTCCACATGCTAAAGCTTTTCAAGTGAACCCCCCCAACCCGGGAGCCGCCTGGGTGGACAGGCCCCCAGGTCAGGCCTCTCCAGACAGAGCGGGTGGCGATGGGGAAATAGCAGGACTCAGTTTCAGGCAAGTGAGGGGCCATCGGTGACTCACTCAGCGACCTTGAGCCAGGTCAGAACGCGGTGGGAGAATCCGTGGCGTATCTCCGTGGTGCTTTGATCTTTCTTCCTGAAAGGGCCATGATGTTTGAAACGCTCACGTCCTGCAGAAGTTTGGTGAGACCTGCTGGTGAGGACAGATCGAATGCCTTGTTTTAGGCTTCAGCCGAACAACGAGGGGCTTGCTTTTTAAGGCTGGCTCTGGGGTTAATTCCCACCCTTGTGATGGGTCGGAGATTCAGTGCCCACATCCTCCCAGGCGCTGACAGAGCAGCGGGTAGGAGAAACTGAGTCTCGAACAGGAGAACCTTGCTCTGGGAAGGTGTGAGCTGAGGAGCCTTGTCCACCTGGAGGCGAGCTCAGAGTCAGGGGCCAGCTGTCCAGGACATCTTTGGGGGCGGGACTAGGGCAGATTGAACAAGAGAACGCAGTTGAGAGCAGGTTAGGTGTTGCTGGGGAGTGGATTTTGTTCCGTTTGTACCTTCTTGACTGTCACCGGCCCTCCTGGCACCTCTT